AGCTAAAGCCATCGTTGACAACACAGAGTTTTCCTCCTGGCGACCGGAGGAACGAATGTTTCAAAATCTCGATTTGAAATATGGAAAAGTTTCTCGTCTCAGTTGAGACTTTCACTTCCCACAGATAGGCAATTTTAATTACTTTCCCCCCCTTTTCCCTCCGACACATTCATTCATTTCCACTTGTTGCCCATCAGTTAAAAGTCAAAAGAGGAAACTCTCCAAATGGTAATTCCATTTCCATTTCGGACATTTCACGCTTGAAAGGATTTGCCACCGCGATGTCTATCGTCCTGTGGCCATCACAACTTATTGCCACTACTACTGTGGCTACTTTTAATACACCAAATTAACTTTTTCGTTGCGTTTTCCTGGGGCAACGTCCTTTTACCCCTCTTTACCACCCTCTCACCCCCTCGAAAAGCAAGGACGCGTTTATCTGTCGGTTATCTCGCCTTTTGTTGATTAATAGCTTTGCGGTAATTAATTTGGCATGAATAGAACGAGATGGAAATGAACTTCAATGGCGAAATGGGGCGAAATGGATGTGAGTGTCTCATTGAAAAAGAGTTTGGGTCTGTTTAGATCTAATGAGATATGATTTACTATGTGTTTATTAATTGTTGTGTGAAATGGGGACATATTTTATGAGAATTATGCATACGTACGGGTGATTAAGTTAGAAAATTAATTTAATATGCCATGATAATAAGCCAATTTTAATTATTTTGACCTTATTGAAATACTATAAAAATTATGGTGCATAATAAAATTCTTTAAAATTTTGCAATTATATTTTTAAACTATCTGATTATTTTTAAGCCTATGACAAATTTTTGTAAAATAAATTAATAGTGAAAGGTATTTTCTCCAGAAAATACATTTATTACACTGCCCAGATAATCCATTAAAAATAATATTGACTTTAAAACTTAGGCTTTTTATTTTAATTATAAGAATATTTTTACATCTTATTTTGTTTTATATTCCTTCTATTTATCTTATCCCTTATTTTTTTTGAATAACAGATAAATAGTGCAAGATAATATTGGTTCCCCGTGGAATAGATTTAACCGGCAGTTTCCGAGTCCTCGCATTACCTGCAAACTTTTCTCATTATATCTGCACTGCAGTGCAGCGACAAACGGGGGAACTTTTCAGCCCACCCACAGCTTCAGGTTTTACCAATGACTTCCGTCATCACCGACACACTCAAAGTGTAAATTTGCGTTTGCTTCTAATTACGAGCGGGAACAAGAAATTGCCCAGAACTGAGAACTTAGAGACCCGAGAACCTGAGGAGGCCCGCATTCGCACTCGCAATACTCGTAGTATTTGCAGCATCCCAGCATCTTGGCAACTCGGAAACTTGGCATCTGCAAATGGAGGAGCACTTGCGGCAATTGCAATTTAGAATTTTCAATTATATTTATATTTTTTATGGGGCTTAAGGGTAGTAGATGGTGGTGAACGCCCGCACACACGGAAGCGCAGTGGAAAACTACAAATCAAGTGCCACGCACGCAAATTTCCTTTAATTAAAACCAAACTTTTAAGAGCCCCTCGTCTGCATCTTCTTCACGTTCCCCGTTCCTCAGATGCCGCAGATGCATCTTCACTGGGTTTACCCATACCCAAACCCAAACACAAACTACTCGTTCTCAACTTAAGCGAAACCAAGGCGACATAATCTTCGAGTGGGGCCCAAAGTGCGGGCCGCTTTTGTTGGTTGCAGGGCGAAGGGATTAGAGGCCAAAGTTTGCTCAGGTGAAGAAATACAATTAGGGACTAAGATGGGGACAACAAGGCCTAAAAGGGTTTACTGATGAAGTGACACAAATCGTACTCAAAAACTAAATAATTACCGCTTTTAATACAATTGACCTTTTGTAAAAAGTGTACAATTAAAATGTAATATATATATCATTTACTGTAAATTTAAAAACAAATTAAAAAAAAACAGGAAAATAATTGTACAAAATTACTGCTTGTAAATTACTTTTTTTATTACTGCTACGTATTATAAAAATGCCAATCAATATTCAGGAGAAAAATACTTTGCTAAACGTATTCTTACAACAATGTTTCATAAAACCAATAAATATTTTATATATATTTAAAGGAAACTTGTTATTCATTTTTAGGACTTATCAGCAAACTTCTAAAGTTCTGAACACCAAAATCATGGTACCCTATAGTCTAAGAAAACACCTCCTTGATTAGGATTTTGAAAGTCAAGTCAAAGCCTTCAAAAATCTCTTCGAAGCTTGGTTTTGAAACAGCTCCCACCCAAAAACATCCATCAAAAAGTAAAATTCAGTTTTCCCCGCATTTCTGCCGGAAGAGCACTTAGTAAAAAAAAACGGATGGAAGGAAAAAGGTAGGAAGCCAACTTCGCCGCCCAAAAGAAGCGAAGCGAGTGCAGTGGAAAACTTTCCTAACCCATATTAAAACATATTTGCGCAAAAATATGCAGATGCCTGGAGAGTGCAGGGAAGTTTGCACGCATATATAGTATATGCCATGTATGCCATATCTATATATAGGCAGGTGGCGGTGCTGCGTCGGCAGTCAATTGCTCATTGACTTGGCTCAAAAATTGTTGAGTGTCGAGTTGCAAGTCCTAAGCTCCTGCTAACATGTGGCCAAAAGTTGCCAGCGCCTCAGCTCAGATAGGGAAAATGCGGAAGAAGAGCCGACATCTTCCTCTTCGGAATACCATTTCTTTCGGCTTTAGTTTCTAGTTAAGTTTACGTGAGCGTGGATTTCAAGCTGTGCGCGCACATAAGTTTGCGGCTTAAGCATGTGAAATTCATATGGAAGAAAAAGGAACCCGCACCCACCCACATATCCTGGCCCCCCAAAAATTCACATAAACTACTGACAGGGCTAATGCATTGCCAGCCACCCAAAATAACCTTAGACACTACGACGACGGGGGTGCTGAAAGAGTCAAACGAACTTACTGCCGCCAAAAGTTTAAAATTAAACGTAGTTGGATTTTGGATCTAAGAAAACGCTGTCAGGAAGGACAATGACTACTTGGGGTATTCGGAAAATCTTAATTTACTTATTGAGTTTGTCAGCGCTAAGACTTATCTTATTTATATTGTTATAACAATTTTATGAGATAAAAAAATTAAAATATTAACATTTTATTAATAAATAGTTGTAACGACTTAATTGATCAAATGTAAAACTCTAAGAAATATTTATTCAAACTAAATAAAATATTTACAAAAACATTTAATTTATTCTAAATTTTAACTTTTTATAAATAAATTAGGGACTATACCTACTATACAATACTGTTTCAAAAAAGATTACAAATTATTACACACTTGTTGATTTTTAACCAACAAATTTAAAACTATTTATAATTTTTTAAATAACGTTTGGACTTGCAGTTCGTTATAGTATATATTCCCTTTAAACATAAAGTAAATGTAGTTACCCCTTCTTGTGACTTATCTGTGCCGCAAATATTCAATTACAAATTCAACTTGATTAAAGTTTAAAAGAGCAAGGAATGCCTCAAAAATGCCGGTGCTGCTGGCGAAAGACTAATTATGTTTATGCAAAGTGTTTTTCGGTCTTTGAACCATAATGGAATATAATTTAAGCAAAATTATTGAAAATTGACGGTAATTGAAATGAATTTGAACAAATTTGAGTGCACGGCGTTTGGGGGTGTCGTGTTGCTCCGCCATCAAAGGAGTCAAAGAGCGTTGAGTGTCGAGTGTTGCAACTTTGACACGCGACGAGGAGCCCAGCAATTTTCTTTGCCTCTCTAGGCCTGCCGAAAAGGGTTCATTAGACATTTTACCAAAATTACTGCACATTTCCAGCCAGGACTTCTCTATGATTAGGCTTGCAGAAGTGGATTATTTGCAGTAGATGGTTCCTTTTCGATTTGAGTTGGCCAGTTTAAGTGAAACTACAGCTTCAAGCGGATAAAGTCACCAAGTAAACAGCTTACTTACTGGGGAAACACAAATTCAATGAAAATAAAAATAAATTAGCCGCTCTAAATGAGCCAAATAAATTCATTTAGGGCTTTATGCGCTCCACTGAAGTATGCCAAAAAGACACCGTCATTCACGTCACCCTCTTTTCTTTCGGATGGCAGGGTTAGGAGCCAAGTTAAAGGCAACACGTATTGCCAAACTCGATTGCCCCTGGCGCCGCACACCAAATGCAATTTCACTTCGCCCTCCTCGAGGTGGGGAAAAATTTCCAGGGTCCCCCAAGTATTCCCCGTTGCAGGTGATTCCCCTTCGCAGCACTTATCCATTGAGTGAGCTCCGTTTGCTCCGATTGGACAACTCTTGAAATCAACGCTGTAGAAAATAACAAAACAACAAAACGACAAAAGGTTTCTTTTGATTATGTCCGTGTTTATCTTTACAAAATGTAACCCAATTGAAAGAAATATGTTTTTCGTTTTAACTCATTTGCATTTACTTTTGGCCCGAAAATAAAATCAATATCTAGTTCAAAGCGGTTGAAAAAATATTTTTAAAAAATGGCTGCTAACATAACTTATATATTGTTAAAAAAATTGTTTTTAAGGAAGCAATATGTTTTAAGAACCAACAAACAAATGAGTCAATAATCGCAGTTGGGGAATTTTAAATCAAAAGTAATAGATTTAGTTAAATCTATGGATTCTTCGAAACGTGCCCCTACAAACGGAACAGCTTAGTCATAAATTCAAAAAAATCCTATTTAAATATAAATTAGCAACTATTAAAATTCAAATCAAATAACACGCACCTGGCGCCTGTTCACCCAAAGAAAAAATACAAAAAAAAAAACAATAAACCGGCCAATAACCAAAACAAATTCGAAAACCGGATTAAAAGAGAAACGCTGGTCAGCTGTGAGGAAAGCCCCCACCGTCTGGTCCACTGTCTGGGGACAAGTTTTTTCCTCGGCGGGTAAAGAACCTCCGAAATTCAAACATTAGGTGACTATGGAAAAAATCGTATAAATAGAGAAAGACTCGGCAGAAAGGGCATCAGTTTCCAGTGCAACCTCGCAGAGTCCTCATCTATTTGGGATATTTCTACAGATCGAATTTAATTTTCAATTCAACATGAAGTTCTTGGTGAGTTACGCTTCCTGTGGATAAAAGCTTGCAGGAATTAAGGGTTTTATTTATTTAATTCCCCTTCAGGTAATCGTTTTTGTGGCACTCATTGCCATTGCCTCTGCTTTGCCTCAATTTGGATTCGGAGGATTCGGAGGAGGATTTGGTGGTCAGCAGCAGCAACAGCAGCAAGAAGGATTCGGAGGTGGATTCGGTGGATTCGGAGGATTCGAACAGCAGCAGCAGCAGCAAGAAGGATTCGGAGGTGGATTCGGAGGTGGTTTCGAGCAACAGCAGCAGCAGCAGCAAGGAGGCTTCTTCTAAAGCAGTTCCATTATGGAATAGCAAATTAAAAACAAAGAAAAAGTTATTTAAATTAATAAAATAGTAGTAAATTAAACTAAAACTATGCTTTTGAATTTTTTAAAAGAATTTTCAGATGAAAGATTTGAAGGATATGAAAACATTAGTCTAATTTAAAGTCAAGATAATCATAGAATAATTGGACAACTTTGTTATGATGGATTTTATTTGGATGCTAGCAGGGCTTTAAAAATAATTTTTTAATATATTTTCATTGTTATAAATAACTCTAAAAAGTTTGATATAAAAGATATCCATCCCACAAATTATCACCTTTAATAAAAGAAATCACTATAATTTGCTTGATGCCGCAAAACCAGTTCCAGATGTTGTAAAATATTCCTAAGAATGAAGTGGCTATTTCAAAATCACTTTGGAGGTTAATGGAATAATAAGTTTATCGTCACTTTGCGGAAGTATTCTCAGCCAAAAACAATAACATTAACCATTATTATAATTTCCGAGCAATTGTGCAAGTACTTAAAGGTAAAAACACACGAATCCAGTGACTCGTGCAAAATTGTGAAATAGCTAAATATTCTGACAACAATAATTCAACTAATTTGATTAGCGAAGAGCATACGCCAGCAAAGAGCTGATTGAAAACCTGTATTTTAGTGGGCCCGTCAGCTCCAGATACTTGAAATTTTTCATCAACCGAAAAAATCCCCTTTGGAGCACGATCGGCGCAAAAGGGAAGTCCGAGCGGCGATCGGACCGTGTCCAACCAGTTTTCGAGTGGCTATGAGCCAAACAGAAAATCAAATAAATACACGCGGTCGCCAGCAAAAAGTCAAACAGTTCATCTTAGCATTTCGGCCAAATAAGGTTATTGAGTGGAGAAGTCAAAACTAAACATCGAACATTTAAAATGAAATTCCTGGTAAGCACGGTATAAAAAATCGAAAAAAATAGATCTGGTTAAAATCTCTCAATAAACTAAGAAATATATTGATATATTTGTTATTATGAGTTGAATCATGTAATTAACCTTAATTGGTTTGTCTATGATAAATATACAAGAAGGCCCATTTTAAATGGGAAGATTTATAGGCACAAAAAATCTTTGACTTAAAAATTAAAGTTAAAAAGCCGAAATTCGGTTAAAATCCCAATTTCTACAAAGATTGTAAATTAAAAAATTGAGAAAATTTCTTTAAAAATATTTAGTTGAAATTTTATTAATTTAAAAAATATAATTTATATTTTCCAACAGATAATCGTATTTGTAGCTCTTCTCGCCGTTGCAATGGCTCAATTTGGTCGTGGTCCTTTTGGTGAATTGATTCGGGATATTGAGCGATTTGAAGGAGGTCAACAGCAGCAACAGCAGCAGCAAAGCGGTTTTGGAGGAGGTCAACAGCAGCAGCAGCAGGAAGAGGGGGTCATCTTCAGAGGTCCTTTCGGCGGCGGTGTCGAGTTCTTCCAGGAGCAGCAGCAACAGCAGCAAGGTGGTGGCGGTCAGCAGCAACAGCAGCAGCAGGAAAATCTATTCAATTTCTTTGGCTAAATCTTCTACACGAGGCCAACTAGGCATAGACTGATTACCTATCTCTACAATTTAAAAGGGGGCCATAGTTTAAAGCCATGATCCAAAAAATAAACATTAAAATATATTTTAAGAATAAATAGACCAAAATAAAAATAAATGTAGTAATTTTTTCATCCAAAAAAAGCTAAAATAATTTATTTTACTGAGGTATTTCCAAAAACAATTAAAATGAAATATTTTACCAGTAAAACTAGGCCTAATAAGGTTATGGATTACTTCAGATTTCTCAATTCTTAACGGTTGGCCAAATAAAATTAAATCAAATCAAATAAAAGTAATTTATTTACAGGGCCAAAGAGCAGACAATTTGCCTCCTATTTGGATGTGAATTTCGAAATGGCTTCGTGTTCTGTGTCAAAATCGCGATGATGGCCATGGCCAATTGTTATGGCCAAAGTTTTAAGCCAAAAATCGCAAAACTCTAATGAGTGCTATCGTTGAAATCGGAGGATGGCAAGGAAGGAAAGGGGTGGGATGGGATATTTGGTTGCTTTATCCGAAAGCACCGAAACACCATCAAAGTCATTAAGCGGAAAACCCTTTTGGCTTCTTTTCCACGCATTTTCATTTCGCCCCTGTAATGACTTCATCCCAGCGTTCAGAGTCTTTGGGGTTTTCTGGTTCTGGTTTTGTTATTGGAGACAATTTCGAAGCCATCCTGTGTTGTTGGCAACGTCTGACAAAACAAAACGGAGGGCCACCCAATCCGCCCACCAAAGAAAGCCAAGAGCACCAACACTCGTAACTACAAAACAACTTTTTAATTGCAATTAAATACGTAACAAGTTTTTAGTTGTAAGTGCGACGAGAGAACACACAGAGAACTTGGCCGTGGCGGTAGTGCCCATTGGTGCCGGAATATTGTTGTTGCGGGTTACCCTTATCTATCCCCAGCTATCTGCGGAAAATATATATAAAGATATATATATGAAATTGCCATTGCAGTGTTTGCCTCACCCACTCGCTCTGTGTGTATTGCAAAATTGAGTTGTGCGCTTTGGGGTTTTAATTGTTAATTGTTGGCTCAGCGGGCAGCGCTTTTGACGTCGTTGATGACAGTCGTCTATGGGCTCCAGAACGATGGAGATGGGGTTTGGGGATTGGGATTGGGTCGTAAGAAAAGCGCGCTTTGGGGATTGGAGACGGTGGCAAGTGGAAAGTGGAGAGAGCACACATACAATCGGCAAGTGGGCGGAAGAAAAGGATGTTGCGGATTAGGGAATTAAATGGAAACCCCTAATGACTTTCGGGTTAAGCGGGGAAAGCACATTTTGCGGGAACTTTTAATCAAATCATCAAGTTCATCGAGGCATATGTATCCAATCATTACCGAAACGCCTTCATTTTGAAACAATTGGGGAGGGGAGTATCATTTGTTTCATAATTTATTCTGAAATTAGTCGATAAGAGCAAAAACATTTCAGTATAACCCAAAGTTAGATTAAATTAAAATTTTTTTTAGATTTAATTTTAACTAAGTTAATTAAAATAAGAATAAATGTTAATTTTAACCTAAGGTTAGTATGACCAAGGGTTAAAATAATCCTTGTTTTGTATAACCCAATATTAAATATTGTGAATTAATAAATATTATAAAAACCATGGGAAGTAAAGTGCTTTGTATATTAGCATTTATTTTATAATTTATTCTGAAACTAGTTAATTAAAACAAATACATTTCAGTATAACCTTAGGCTACTGTGTAGTTAAATTTGTTTATAACATTTAAAATTACTTATTCTAAACTTAGTTATTAAAAATTATAACAAATGTTAATTTTAACATGAGGTTAGTACGACCAAGGGTTAAAATAATCGTTGGCTATTATAACCTAAGGTTAAGTATTTTAAATTTCTTAGATAAACCTCTAATCTCTTTGTTATCATGGGAAGTAAAGTGCATTGCATATAAGCATTTCCCAAGCAATGTCAATGTTTGGATTTCGTTGATATGCCATTTAATTTGAATGCAAATTAAAATATGATGGGGGCACTGATGTTGTCGATTAACCACTTACCCTTGGCCATCTAATGGATCTTTACGTACAGCCACTTGCCCGGCGGTTAAGTAATTCGCCGGGCCAAAGCTGTCTCAGTAACCTCTAAGTGTCTGTTTTTCCTTACCTGTACTGGGATTCCTTTTTTTTTGCCTTGGTTCACTAATTTGGCCGCAATTTACATAAAGGACGCGCAGCCCCCAAATGTTGTTAGCCATGGTAATTTTCCGTTTCTTCAGCGTTTTTTGTTGTGTATATATTTTTGAAGCACCCACCGAAAAAAAAGCGGGCGTAATTTCTTTTACCATTCAACTTGATTAAATTAGAGTATAGGAGAACGAGGCACTGGGCGACCGAGTACTAATGAGAGGCAGCTGCATTTTAGTACCGGGTCCGAGAATAATATTATCTTCCCAGTTAGCTATCTCCACTGCTCTGCATCTCCGAATAGTGACAGATGTATGACTTGGCATTTATAGTTTTGAGTCGCAATTTTCGGTGATTTATTTATGCATGAAATGCAAACAAAATCTGAATAATTACCAACAAAAGCTAACTGAACTGACAGTTAGACAGACAGGCCAAACAAAGCAAGGAATGCGATACGAGCCGAAGAGGCAGTACTTGCATATACAAATTCCAGTCAGTAAGGATGGACAGGAGTACAGGCAGCGACTCTTGAGCTGTCAGAGGGCCCATCAGTGTGGGAATATGGAATATTATAATGTTTGCAATCTGCAAAATGCTGTTCACCCCATATGAATATGACAAGAAAGCGGCTCAGGAGTGACGGAAGCTGCCGGTCCTTGTTTTAGCCATCAAAACAAGTCGTGATAACAAAACAATAGAATAAGGATTGATTTTTTTCTGAAGAAAAATATTGTACTTAAATTCTTATAAGAAATAACTAATAAATACTTGCTTTGGCACGGAAATAGAATTTCTACATTTCTAAAAACCAACAAATAATTTTATTCAAGCAGTAACGCACAAAAACATTGATTAAATAATTTTAAAATTATATTACACTTAAAAATAATTATTAATGAATTAAAAAGGTTATTAAAAATAAGACTAACGAAAAATATTTAACAAAATTATATTATACATTTAATTAATTAACAATATAGGAACAGAAAATAATGGTTTAAAAATGAATCCAATAACTTAGACTCTAAGATAATCCGGCTCCAAGGTAATTCGTTATTAACTTAATATTTAAAAATAATCTAAGTTTTATTACAGTTCAAAATAAATAAAACTAATATCACCTACAACTGATTTATAACAAGCTAAGTGCGTGGCATGAATAAGAGCTTACTTCATTTCCGGCCAAAAGATCATTGTGTTGAACTAGTGGCCGCCGGCAATCTAATAACAAAGTTTTGGGCACTTGAACACTTTGGCCTTTTGGCTTCAACTGGATCTGGCCACGCCCAGTTTGGGGACCCAAGGGCCTTGGAAGAGGTAGGGGTAGGTATCCCTATTATAACGCCGACTCTCTATGCCTTTGCAGTGCAGCAGTAAAAATGACTGCACACAGCTGTGCTTCATGGCTGCTGTGGAGCTGGAACTCGGAATTTCGGAATCTGAAGGAGGCTGACGCTACTGCGGCAGTAAGATTTTATTAGCGGTGGTATTAGCAGCGACAGCAAGCCAACCATCCCCCAACCCACTTTCCACATTGGACAGCCCCTACAGTGGTTGGCGTTGCATATTAATGCAGGCATAAAAATATTTACAACTTTTTTATGCAGCACTGCCTTCGGCCGTTTTGTTCTTGGCAAATTTAATATAATTTCTGGTCGTTTAATGATGCGGCCATTCAAAAGTGCTCGCCGACGCAGAGGAAACTCCCATTTTCGCCGAGTAGCCGGCGGGCACAACAAGTGTGCCGGCCATTATGAGTGACCCCTCAGTACGGGGTCGTAAAAATTGCTTAACAACATTATGCAAAGTTAAGAGAGATGCGATGCGGCCATAAAAGTCCAAGATCCTGGCAGCACTTGAACTCCTTATTGGGCCCACTGTGCCGGGCATTGTGAGCATCAGTGAGCAGTGAACAGTGGAATCCTCCGGTTTTTGTCTTTCGCTTAATCCCTGCGCCGGCTCGCAAATTCCAATGCTGGTTTCTGTCATCCCCAAAAGTTACCCTCTCTGAATAAAAAGGGTGCGGGTGTCCTGGCCCATAACCGAAAAGATTATACAAATAAAAATAAAAGGAGGCCCTGGGTGGGTGAGGTGTTATAAATTTGGGACAGCAGGTGAAAACAATTTGGTGCATAAAGTTTTCGCTTAGCAGCTCAGCGCGTTGGCGACCCAAGGACCTCGTGGCCAGGATATGGCTCTGACTTCTGTTTTGTGGCCCAATGCGGTTTGACACAAAACAGAGCGAACAAAAAGGGGCCAAGATGGGAAAAAGAAAATCACAAAGAATGCAAAAAAAAAACACCTAAATCGAGGAAATAAAACAAGCAGAAGAAGCCCAACAAAAAAGAATTACTTGACTTGGCAGGCATATTTTTGCATTCGGAGAGCAACGATTGTTAAAAGGGATATAAATGGCACAAAAAGGATTGGACTCACAAAAACACAGAAGAGATTGGTATATAAATAAATCCTAAAGGACGGTTTTCAATAAGTTTTTAAATTTAAATATTTGAATAAAAATATATATGATAATAAATATTATGATAATTAAATTAAAATTAAATAATTCTTAAAATGTTTTAAATATTTATAATAGGTGGGTTTCTGATCTATTTTTAAAGCTTGTTCTAATGTCCTTAAATTATACGTATTAATATAATTATAATTAATTGTAATAATTTCACAATTGGCATTCTCAAGCCATCCTATAAAGCAATTGAAGAGATTTATTTCAACAGAGCTCCATAAATGCATAAATTACAAAAGGCAGCCAAGAAAAACAGCCCACACTTAAGTATTCTAATCAAAGGAAACATAAAGGAATAATCGTTGCGATTACACCTCCATAACAGCATCAAGTTTCCCTGACAAAACCCCTAATGCATTTCCCATGGCAGGTCTATTGGTCAATGCAGCCATTTCAGATGGCCGAGAAGACCAGAAAACCGGC